ACACACACACACACACACACACACACACACACACACACACACACACACACACACACACACACGCGCGCGCGCATACACACACACACACACACACACACATATATATATATATAAATTGATATCGCGTTCAGCGTGATGAACCCTCAAATGCTGACTGAATATACATGCGTACAGATTTGTTTGCGAGAAATCTACATGCATTTTTCAATCTATCACCATGGTTACCTAACAGGTACAGCTTCGTACCGAAATCCAAGTCGATAAAAAGTTTATGTGCTGGTAGGCACCCGACTCAGCAGCAGCAGTATGCACGCACGAACGCACGCACGCACGCACGCACGCACGCACGCACGCACGCACGCACGCACGCACGCACGCACGCACGCACGCACGCACGCACGCACGAACGCATACACACAACATGCCATGCATACGTGGGTTAGCCCAGGTTTATTTACAATTTGTCTTGGGCCGCATGCAGGCAATCGTTAGAATGAGATATGCTAAGAAGTTCTCGAATGGAATGAGGGGACCTCATTCATATTAGCACACGAATTGCGAAAGCAACCTAAAAGCGTACTTTCTCGCCAATATTCAGCTGGAAGTGTGGCGCTGGAATTTTCTTATCACACTAACGTTACAAGTTTGCGGCCTGAACACGAATTTGCTCTCTGCCCAGTGTCACGGGCGCAATAGGCAGTCTCCGCTTGCTCTCTATATTTCAGCCGGCCGTCGTCTGAATTCGCTCACCGTGAACTATTGTGGATAATTCCTTCAGCCGCCCACCATCCGTCTCTGCTGAACATCTTACGATCGATTGGCGTGAAGCTATGTATATAGGCGCTCAGGAATGATTTCTGTCAAAACCTTAGCAAACCTCGAGGTTAGTTGAAACATTAACTGGATGCATTAGTAAACGTTGTTTCCGTCTTTTACTTAGCGATGAATGCTTTCCGTTCGTAAAGCAGGAAATCACGGCCGTTAGTTTATTGAAGGGTGAAAATGTGTCTGATGCACCGGTGTGTACAGCTTTGAAACGCCCCCATTTCTGGTTAACCCGTTATTCTCAGAATAACAACAATAGCATCTTCTCTTTATTGCGTCTCTACTCCTACGTGATATTCGTCAGATGAATACATTATTAACATTAGTAATTGCTAATTGCTAATAAGATGAATACCTTAGTAATTGCTTATTGGATCTATATGTAATGCCACCGTCGGGAGGACTAACTGCACGCGTCTATGTTTATGACAACGTAGGTGAGTGCATTTCTAATATACAGGCAGGAGGTATATATGCACATATATATGCACATGATATCTAGTATTATGTGAGATAGCGTGAAGGCTACACTGTAGTATAAAACTAGCAGAAAAGTAGGGCAACGTCTACGTTTTACACACTAAAGACAGAAGGAGAAAAGAAGCGTAAAACACGTTAGATTATGTGCGGTTTACCGGCTTGAGTTTAGTGTTTGATAGTACAATCTCGAAGTAACTGCGATAAGTTTGGAAAGCTAGCTTCATGATTTTTCTTAGCGATTTCATAATCTTCAGACAACTATTAATTATGCTACCTGAAGCGATATCATATCAATTCTCGTCAAAATATTGTTTTGCTAGCATGCGTGCTTCCCTTCAGAAATGATCTGGCAAAACTTGCCAAGTGTCGGCAGGGCTCTGGGTTAAATGGTCTGTCAGGCATCGTAGCGTACGCACGCCAACTCTGGCGCAGAGCAAATAAAATTGCGGGTATTTATACAGACAAGCGCTGTGGCAGCCGCAGCAGGCAGGCAATGACAAGCAGACGCTCGACACCTGTCCGCGCGGGCGTCGCCGTACGTCGTGCGCATGCGCAGAGCGCCGGTTATATGTTTGTACTGGCGTGTAATGGACGCATGCGCGCGCAAAGCGAGTTGCAAGAAGATTGAAACCAGCAACGAGAACGTACAAGTGATTTAGATAGGCTCGAACGGCTTTTATTTCTCACATCGACTCAACACGGGAAAACGCATTTGTCGAGAGAGCTATAGCGCCCATATAACGGCCGCCAGATGTCGCACGCGGCAAGAGCGTATTACGTCAACCGCCGCCGGAAATGCGACACACAGAGTAATGCCGTCATCAGATCATCGTGCGTCGATGACGTCACACATAGATGCGCGCAACTACAATAATGAAGTCCATATAGTACATCTATTTCGTAGATACAATCGCTCGTTAAGTTAGAAATAACTAAGATACGTGTTAGTTCGTTAAAAAATCACTTTTTACAGATAAATACTATAGTCCTGCTTAATACGACTGGATTGCACATTAAGTTGTTAATTTAGCAACTTAACTGATTACAATGTAACTCAATTAGTATAGCCAAGATTTCGAGGGTTAGCAAAGGACCGAGCCGTAGTGTTATGTCGGTCCAGATAGTCAGCGATACATGTAGCTGAGCTGTTTCAACATCGTTTCACCTGCATGGGTTCTAATATATATAAATATATATGTATATATTTATTTATTTTTATATACATATATATACATATATATTTATATACATATATGTGTGAATGTGTTTGTGTGTATTTGTGTGTGTGTGTGTGTGTGTGTGTGTGTGTGTGTGTGTGTGTGTGTGTGTGTGTGT